AAATTGGGTAAAAAGTTGGTTGGTACAGGGCGCTGTAATCGCAGCTAGAATATGTGGGTTGTAGGTCAGTGACGCGTGCGGTCGCGACGCGGTTGTGTCTTGTGGCACACAGCTGCTAAAACTAGCCTTTGACGGTTCACTTTTTTAATATGCTGCAATTACAAGCTACTCAATACTTGAGCAAATCAGGCATGAAAATTCGATAATGCGCAACATTCGATTTGTAGAGCGTTGCCACGCGACCACGCGCGGCAGCGCCCTACAAATCCACGGCGAATTGAAACGTTAGATCCGCGCTCTACAGAGTCAGTATTATTTATTAGGATCGAGGAAAAGGAAAAAAGAAAGAGAGAAAGAGGGGTGGGGGGGGAAATGTGACACGAACCTTCCGTCCGGGTAGCTTACTGACAGACGACGAAACATCGGCGAAACCCGGTTGACAAACGCATTGAAATCCTTCCGGAGTGTCAACACAGGCAGCGTTGGCGTCACAGTCAACACCGTACCTCCAAATAATCTTTTTTCGCCAGAAAAATAAAAATGAAATGGAGGGGCAATGTTTGAACTCACGTCTCCTTCTGACTGCATTCATTACTTGTCTTTTGGCAAATTCGGCCTGGTTTATTAACGCGATCGGTGGAAACGTCGGCAAATCCAGACTTGCATTCACACGTATAGCCTTCTTGCTAAAAATATGATTTTGGTAATTTAACCTACTATTTGCCTACTTTAACATTTTTGGCCTTTGACTAGCGCGCTCATCCCATGGGTGAGGAGGCTCTCTAAGGCACTTCCCGAGATGATCGAATGGGCAGAGAATCATGGTCATTATGTATGCTTCGTTGGTGTCCATCCCTTTCTAAAACGATGAAGAGCGGCGCGCAAATGAACAACAAGACACAATGGCAGGCCTGACTCCGCCCACACGTTCAGAGCGGAGAGCGCATTCGAATTCATCGTTCTGCTCGTCAAGCAGAAGAGCAGGGTCAGAGGAATCTTGTTGGATTTGAGCTCCTGATCCCGCGCAGCCTTTTCTGGAACAGCAGTATACTGGGAAAACCGTTTTTCCCGGAACTGGTTTAGTTCTAAGCAAAACTCAGAGCTCCGTCATGATTGGAGCACACAATTCCCAAAATAGTACAGCGTTGGGTGGAGAGCTCTAACTCTACCTTCTGAGGAACGCCCACAAACTGCCTTGTATTTCTCGACTAAACTTGACTTGAAGTACTACGTCGGTAAACCAGTTAGGTCTTGGTGTGAATGTCGCTCACGGGACCCGGCCACACAGCTAATTTCTTCGTGTTAATCAATACCGTGCGGTAGATGTGCACGTTATTGTTGAGCACGCGAAGCCAGCTCACCCATTTGGCTATGGAAGGCCAGGAACAAACAAGTCCTACCTGAATAACACCCTTACGTACCTGATCGATGCAATTAGCGTCTTTATGGCAGTTGTTTAATGATGGCCGAGCGCACTCGTTTACCCAGAGGCATCGCCCATCAGCCAATCGGTTCACTCCTGTCGGACATTCGCATCTGTACTGTCCGTTCGCGAACACACAGACCTTCAAAGAATGATGTCAAAAAAATCGATAAATCCGGTCAATTCTCCACTCAATCGGTTGTCAATTTCTGCTTCATCGTTTACACAAGTTTCAGGCATTTGTTATTGATTAACTTAGTCAGAAAGTTGAAATTAATACACAATAAACATCATATTACTATTATAACTGCTTATCATTAATTATCATCAATGATCATTCGTTATCGTCCATCATCATTATCATCATTTATTCCTACTTTCAACAGAAAAAAAATGCCAGAATTACGGAAAATCCATTTCATTCTAGATCGATTCTTTATAAATTCGTCCTATCTCTTATTCAACTATTGACTGAATTTTGATCGAGAAACTCAAAGGTAGTTGGCACGATGGCTGTGGGCGGGCGGTTACTGCCAACGTCATTGGTGGAAAAAGAGAGCATTTGGCTACAACCCACGTGGTCCTTCCACCAATGACGTTGGCACAAATAGCCCACCCCAGCCATCGTGCCCACTGACTTTAATTTATTGCATAATTTCGGAACATGATAAGCGAGACTTATAATTATTATTGATGTGAATAGTAATTATACGATGTAAATTATACCAATAAATTATTACAGTTAAGTGCAATATTTTCACTCATTAGTTGATGATTGATTTTTATCGATTCATCCTTGTTAGTTAATAAACCACCCACCTCGTGCTTTGCTTGGCTACATGATAGGGGATCGTCCACTCGGCATTGCAAAGAGCTAGCTGAAAAATCATTGCTTAAATTGTTCGCTCTTGTTTATTTGAGAATTTAGTCCAATTTAATTGAGGAAAACAGCCATTCATGTGCTGCAGAAACGCCCACAAAGTGGGCGGAGTCCAGTGCAACTATTGGTTGATTTTTTTTTGTAACTTCGGTTCGTCTCAACTTTTGCAAATTGTTGGATTACAGACGGAGGCGTCCGCCAGGGTATGGGCAGTCATGTTCGGGAAGTAAGAAGTCGAAGCAGCGAACGAGTAAGATGCAAAACCGGAAATCGGAAGAGAATCTCGAAAACGCGAAATCGATCAAAAATTGGTTTTCGTGGTGAAATAGCGACACAATTTCGGCTATGGGAAGGGGCATCCTCAAGATACTCAACGATTCTTATCAAATCCCCTTGTGATGAACTGCATATCCGTATGGAAGTTGGTGTCAGCTTACACAATACAATTTCACAAAAACTTAACAGATTGGATATAACAACCAGAGCTGCACAAAAAAGCAAAATGTCTGCCTCGCCCCCCTCCCCCCCCGGTGAACAGCGCCAAAATTGCTGTATCGTGGTGAGATTTTGGCCCTGACTGCGGTTACAAGCGCAGCTGAACTTTGACGAGCTCGCAGGGACCAGAATTCTGATGCAGGCTGACCCATCTATTCTACTACGAAAGAACTGAAAGGGTGGAAGGAGCCCTGGCGATGTGATGATCACATATAAGGTAGTGAGCCACGTAGAGCAGCTCGCATTGTACGTTCTGCGGGGTTTCGGCAACGGCGAAGGGTAGTATGTGGCCGCTGCAGGATAGGGGGTGATATACTGAGTTATAGTAGCTCTTTGAGGTAAATGTTCTCAGTCTGTTGGACTTTCTCGGGTTTTTCTCATTTACCACTCGCGTGCTCCCCTCCGACCGTCACTTGCAAGACAGTTTTTTGGGAGAGGGTGGGAATGTCGGATGGGGAGGAGGGTATCCTTCAGGTATTTCGCAGACTTTCCCCTACTAATAGAGACGTGCCTTAACGTCTGAAATTCAGGTTTAAACTAGTGCTTGCCGAAGTTTTTTTAGGCCCTTGTCTTAGTAGGCTTGTCGTGGCGGACTGTCCTGTGAGTTTGGAGAGATCAGGTGGTCTCCCTAACGAGAACGGCCACCGTGCGAATGGAGTAATCCTCCAGTCTCCCCACGTAACTTTTTAGCCACCCTCTCAGCATAAAAACAGAAGTCCGACTCATTCAGCCTGCAAGCATTCCGAACAGGATCTCGTGCCTATCGTCAGACGTTTTCAGTGCCGCGTGCGGCGCGTGCTCTGTTGTCGTTCACTTTTTGCGGTCGCTGCTAATGTGTCTCCCAGCGTGTACGTGTGTATCTGTTGTGTTGTATATGTCGTGCGCTTTCATTGCATAATGTGAAACTGGTCGTGATCGCAGAATCGACGGCGACATTACAGTAATTATAGCCTATACATCTTGTCGATCAGTCAACAGAATAGGTATCGGCGAAAAATTTGGGTTAGATTGTCGGGAAACTGTCGTAACCTCCTTCCTGAATGAAAAGCGCTTTCGTCAGTTGTCGTGTGGAGTCCAGGAATACAAGGACATGGCCTGGTTGGAGAATCCTGACGGGAGGGCCACAGGCGTCTGGGGGAGTTGTGTCTGGTTTCTATTAGAGATTGGTGTGGTAGGCTGTGGGAAAGGGTGAACCTCACACGGCTGACACATTTTCTAGGGATATTGGAGGTAGGGGGGGGGTGAGCAGGAAGATACAGTTGAAAAGAGTCGCACTAGATACCGAGGTGAAGGGAACAGGGTCGAATAACCAACCTTCTTCACGGCCCAGGTTTTCTGAGTGGAGTAACTATCATCGAGGTCTATATAGGCTTCAGGCCTAGGCGTTCACCGCATTGCTGAGAAGGGTGTCGTCATTTTCCCACCAGGCCAACTGGAGCTGAATATTTGTGGAAGCGTTGCGAGGCATACCTAGCCGCCTGGCCTAAAATTCCGCCCACTTCCGCCCCAAAACCTGGAATTGACCCTGCTCTGGAAAGCTAGAAATTTGTCTTCAGCAAGGCGGAGAAGTCATGTGGTCATGCAAAATTTTAAATATTGGTCCCGTTGGACTCACGGTAGTTACCGTCCAGCAAAGGCATTCCCAAATGTTCAGGTTTTATGACCTTGCTTCCTCAAGTGAACGTCTTGAAAACGATTACGGGGTTTTATTGCGCCTAGGAGGTGGCCAATTACCTAGGCCAGTTTAATGTTGTTGGCGGGAAGTTTTTCGAATCTTAATAAGAATAGCAAGGAATTTGTCATTCTTCTGATGGGAGGGGGAAGAGGGGTCAAACTGACCTAACGGTATACCTCGTCGCATCACCACTGATCAGCCATGAACGACTTATTATTTTTTCAGTCAGCAACGACGGGTTTGGGAGCCATACCAGTCAGCGTACAACATCGGTATAGGTGAAGCGACGGTGCCAGTACGTACGT